TAGACCACTGTCTTAGACTCGGTTTACTTCTCTTCTGTTTTATTAATTTAATAATAAGATAATAATTATTAGTTTTGGGCTCAATGATTGTCGTGGGGATTTATATCCGAGTCATTCAGTCGACCTTGAGGTAAATAATTATTTTAATATTCGTAGTTGAGAATTTTTAGTTAACAAAGGTTAATCTAGTAATTTATTTAACATCTGAAATTTTTTTTCTTAATTGTATTAGACTCAATAACACCGGCACACAAAAAAAAAAGTGGAATGTACTTTGGACCGGACCTACCTACCGACATGTTTTTCGACCCACTGAATCCGAATTTTGAGTCCGTTTGGTCCGGTCACCCTCCAATTTTGAGTAAAATGCAAAAATCCTCAAAAAAAAGGCCAAAAATTGAAAAACTGCAGTAACAGCAATGAAACAATTTTTTTGGACCCGGATCACGTATGATTTTGGTGTATTTCAAATTACTGAATCTAAATCTAAAAGTTAATCAACCCGGTGAGCCGTCCAAATTTGAAAAAAAAAAACGAAAAACCCAAAAAATTGAAGTTTTCAACATAAAAATTTTTTTTGGACTTAGATTGAGTATGGAAATTCTTTACAAAAGACGATGAGAACTCGATGGTGTACTGTTGCAATATTAAAGGCTTGGTTGATCAATTGAAACCTAATATCTATAAAGACGATGAGTGGAGACTCTTTATAGATTCATCAACTAGGAGTCTCAAAGCTGTATTACTTCATATTGGAAACGAATTAGCGCCGATCCCAATAGCTCATTCGACTAAACTTAAAGAGACCTACGAAAACTTACACATAGTATTGGATAAAATTAGTCCAGGAGGAATCGGCGCATGAGTACCGAAAACTATTCCACCTCAATTTTTTTATGCAATCCTCTTCAAATTGCCCTACTGATGATATAAATGCATGTTGTCATGGGGCAACCCAGTGCCATATTGTTTAAACCAAAATTGTTTAAACAATTGCAAGGAATTGTTATTTTTCAACTGGACAAATTTTTTTATATTTTTTGTTGAAATACCAATAAAAAAGGTCCTATAACTTTTTTCGATAAAGTTAATATTTTCAAAGATATGAATTTTTAAAGGTTCGAAAAATCTCAAATTTGGGTACTTTCGACCCATGAAAAATATATTAAAAAAAAAA